AAAAAAAAAAAAAAAAAAAAAAAAAAAAAAAAAAAAAAAAAAAAAAAAACTTTGAGCCTTTGGGAAGATCGCCCTCTCATCTTCCCCTACATGTGCTGCCACTATTCTGCCGTGCTTAGGATAAACGCCGTATGAGGCTTCAGGCGTTGCCATATTTCCTTCGATAAGAAACGAATTTTCTGAGAAAATGTTTGATAATTTCCATCAAATTTTCCTGAAAATTCTTTTCACAATTTAATCTAAAATATCCGTAAATTTTAAGAAAAAATATGCGTAACTTTCTTCGAAATCACATGTTAAATTCGAGGAAATAGGGCAACAATTAGTACATGAAAGTCCAGCGCATGAAATTTTTGAGGGGTATTTGATAGCAGTGCCCAACCCCCCCCCCCCTCTAAAAAACCTTTTAAATGTTGATTACTTTGAGTTTGAAGAAAGTTAGATTTACTCAAATCTTTCTGCACAGTATATCTTACATCGCCTAATTTGTAAATTCATATCGCTCATCATTCCTCCATTTTTAACTAGAATTCTCATACTTCTCTTAAAATCCTGCAAGCTTCCAGATTGAGTAACTGTCCTGAAGATTCTTAAAAGTCTCCCTAAATTCTATATCCAAAACTCCGTAAGAAGAGGATCAAACGTACCGAGAGTTAACACTCATAGGGTTATAGGCGAGAGAGGAAAACACTGAGTAACGATAAGAGACAATTAATAAAATCCCAAACGTGGAACCTGATCTACTTATGTGGACTTATGTTGGTAACTAATACTTGGCTGCTTCAAATAACTTCTAACGTTTTTTAGACTTTTTGTCCTTACCGTAGACCCAGAATGACAACTTAAATTCAAGGAAAATAAAGTTTTAAACGTTAATAATCATTTTTCGGCGGCATAGCTCACTAGACCACATTATTATCATGATTTTAAAGAACATCGCCGTCAAAAGTATATAAAAGTACAGAGCTTTTTTTGTATGGTAGGTATACGATAAGGACCAAAGAAATTAATTTTGTCCTAACCGGAGACCATACAAGAAGTGCTAAATCTAAGGGGAACTTAACTCTTGCGGCGATGTTCTTTGAATGTATGATGAACAGAATTTGGTCTAGTGAGATGTGACGCCAAAAAGTGATTATGAACGTTCATAACTGTATTTTCCTTGAATTTAAGTTGTAGTTCAGGGTCTACGGTAAGGACAGAAAGTCTAAAAAACGTTGAAAGTTATTTGAACCAACCCTGCTGACCTGCAATAGACTCAACAACTAACAGATATTATCGTACATAATATGGAATTCCGCTTAACATTAAAAGTAATTAGCTTGCTGTCATCACAGAAAATTCAGAAAAACCTACTTGTTTCGATTGAATCAGCCTTCAAAATAGACAAACATTTCTTGTTCAGACCACGCTCTGCTATCTTTGCCTCTAATTATTATATTCGATTGGCAACACCCAATTTTCCGAAACATCTCCTGAAACAGAAGAAACTGCTACTGCTGGATGCTTTGAAATTTCTTTGCTTATTTTTTTAAAAATTCGCAGATTGCTTTCTCGGGGAAAAATATCTTCTCCCCAAGTCTGAAGATGGTAAAATAATAAAATAATAAAAATAGGAAAATTTAGCAATTAATACTTTAGGTTTGAGTAATACGCAGGGTATTTCGCTTCATGTAAATTGTTTTCGCGTGCCTAGGTGCGAATATTATACATTTGTCGAAAATTAATACGTAACAGGAACAGCTTCATCGGGTTTTCATTATACTTTTTTTGGTAAATATTAGGACCTATTCAATTCCCTCTTCAATTTTACTCTCATCTTTTACTATCTTGCACAATGTCAAAATTCACTCGTAATCATGAAGTGCACTTTCGAAACAAGGAAATATAAGAGGTCTATATAATTAACCTTTCTTACTAAATGCGCTTGTCAAGCGAAGAGAACCAAATTTTTCTTCGACAATGGGTAGTCACGGATTAAAATTAATGATTTTAGGTTTTGCGATCCTAGTTTTTGGTTAGCTTTAAACTCTAATACTTGCACGGCTAAGGTTACAATTTACCCACGTTGAGGTTTGACGTCTTAACTGTTCAACTATGGAGATAGATCCTGACCAATTCCCATGTTCAATTCCATCGAGAAAAATCAATCGGAGAGCAATATTTGACCAGAAAAAGCAAGCATTGGCAAATGACATCGATCATAGAAATACTTATCTTCTTCAAGACGTTACGGAATTCCACCGTTTTAGATGTGTAGTTCGTTGATCAGGAAAGTGGAATGCATGTGTTTTAGATATAATAAATAAATAATAATAATAATAAAAAAAATTAGAAATTAACCATACAAAAACAACGACTACAGAAATTGAGAAAATAATCCATCTCACCTTTCCAGATATACTTTTGCCGATATATTTGACAGGCACAGCACATTTTATTCAAGTGGACTCTACAGCTTGGCTTTTCTTATAACTGAATGGCTTACAATGAAGCCGAAATCATTGGAGCTTTCGAATGCTACAAACCTTCATAAAATGAAAATAAACGGTCGAGCTGTAAACCTTAACCAGTTCAAGGCTTTTTTGATGGATCTGATGAATTTCAACGAAACCTAATTTTTCAAGTTTTTGAACATCGTGAGTGGGTGCACTGTTTTACGGCTCACTGAAGGAAAGTGGAAATCACTTCTGAGGTTCTGTGCACCGAAGACGGCTGCCTGGTCGATTCATTAGGTGGCAATAAATTATAATTTAACTGCCTCGTAAAATTTGATGCACTCTTACGGGGCAGCAACCCACGTAGAGCTGAAAATCGAAATCGACGCCGTCGTGCTGGAAAATTACATCAGGAAGCCAAAACTGTTCCACGAAGTTTCTTTACCTTCCTTTGATTTCCTGTACATCCTATATATTATGCGGACATTTTGTCTGGTTCGGATTTTCTCGCTTTCATTCGGATTATTTTTAAGAAATGGCTAATATACATGATCATAGTCTCCAGCTCGAAAGTTCTATAAACATTCATTTAGTCTAATAACATTAATAGGGTAGGTGAATGCGAATCTTTACTCAGTTCTCCATTTAAGGTGCCGTCAGTCGCATGGAAAAAGAAATCGATTTTTTTTTTTTGTCTCGAAAATAATTTTTTTATGAAAGTCTTGTTTCAAAACGCGATTTCATTATTTTGGTCATTCAAAAAAATAAATAATAAATTGAATATCTTTGAGGTATGGGGGATCCGCAGGGGAAGACAAAAACAGAGTGCCTCTTTTTTGTATAGGTAACTCATTTAAAAATTAAGCCCCTTTTAAGTTTTCAGCACATTACGCACGCAGCTTTGACACGAAGCACTGTTAACTTTATACGAAATTAAATGGCGAAATTAAATTAATCTTCTTTTAAACCCTTCTAATAGTTCACGGGTTTTGTATCATGTAACCAAATGTCAATGAAAAAGTAGAAAATGATAATTTACAATTGAATGTAAAATGTTACCTGTCATGTGACAATTCTGTAACTATCTGGTACCGATGCACTTAATGTGCCACTTGAAAATAATTGATGATGAACAGAAAACAAAATTTAGAAAATATTGACTTGAAAATTCTGAAATACACCTAAATTATCCGTTTACGAGCTTAATCGTGCGTTTAAATCTTCAAATCCGTGTATTACCGCGTTCGCTCCAAAGTCAAAATACCTCCTGAATCACACTTTCACATTTTCGTTTCCATAGAGGCTGTGATTCGGAATCGCTGCAAATGTTTACTGAATCGAACTTAAATTTAAATTTTTCCTAGCGTTTTTCCAAGTTACTTTACGTTTTTTTATCGCGATGCATGAAATATTTGGGCAAATTGTTTTCATCCCATGAGTTCAGTGAGTGACATGCCTTTTTCTTACCCTCCCATTTCCTCCACTTATTTTCATCGGTCGTAAAAGTCCTTCTTTCAGAGTAGGTGTTGCCTATTTTTTTTACTTAAAACGTATAGCAGTTGAATCTGTGATTCACGTGAAATTCCAGCAGACCAGTGGCAGCAGTCATTCGGAATCCATTTTGCAGTAAGGAACCACTATTTCTGGCTTATTTTAGGAACAAATAAATATACTTTTGGTTTTCCAATGCAGAAAAGTGCTTTTATGGAAGAGCAAGAGATTCCTTATTGCAAAATGTAATCCAATCATCACTCTCTTTACATTCTCGCACCGTTGCGGCTTGAACGCTCAGCTTTAAGTAGCGGTATTAATTTCTCGGATTTTGTAAAAATCTCATTTCCTTGGAAGAGGACTGCGGATATTGCTTACGTATGACATTCTCCGGAGTAGCTTCTCTCGCATTAATCGATCAGTGTAAATCGCATGACCGAGATTCTCATCGTTTCCGCTGTCAGCGTTATTCGTCTTCAAAATAAATGTGCTGAAAGCAGGTGAATAAGGAAGTGCACCGATAAACTTATGAGTATAGTCCATGCCATAACCATGCATTATAAGCTCAGAATAGATAATCGCAGATTATTTTACTAAAAATTTCGATCTTAATGTTACGGCAATGTTAATGCCTGTCATCTCCACCACTCTACGCGAAATTTACTTTCTTATGTGCAACGCTGTTTAAGTAATTGAGATTATAATTTTTGTAATTTGATTAAAAGCCAAAATTATTAAAAGGATACTTGTTCGGGTAACAAAAAGCTTGTTACGTTGAATAGAATTTATGTTTATGTACGATGGGTTTTTTCGTGATTTGTTTTTGGTTGTGACGGATTTGATTAATGTCATTGTTAGCTTTCTCCTCTACAAAGACGGTTGCGATAGCT